TACTCATAGTTTTTATAGTTTTATAGTTAAAGTGTTAATAATCTAAAAATTAATTTCATGTAATGATTCAATTAATAATTTGATTTTATTCAATAATTATTATTAATAATACTTTAATTTAATATTAAAATAATAATTTAGTTATAATAATTCATAGTTTATTTATAGTTTATTATGTACATTTACAGTCATCACCCTGGACTCTTAAAAAAAAACACTGATGAGCATTTTTATTACATAAATCATTAACCAATCAATCGGGGGGAAAAATGAATGATAATAATCCTAAACTGTAACCTTCATGTGCAACCCCAAATTCAGTAAAGTTGGGACACTGTGTAAACGGTAAAGAAAACGTCAAATTTGCAAATGTTTTTTGACCAAATTCAATTGAATCCAGTCAAAAGATTTTCAATGTTCAAACTGTTTGTTTTGTTTTTTAAATAAATATTCACTCATTCTGAATTTGACACTGCAACAGGGGCAACAAAAGACCGGGAAGTTGTGGCATGGTCAAAAAACACCTGTGTGACATATTCCACAGGTGAACAGGTGAAGTGGTCCCAGATTAAAGTCTCATGACTGAGTTTGAAAGAAGCCTCGAAAGACTCAGCTGTTCACGAGCAAGGACGACGTGACGTTCATGACTTTGTGACAACAGTTCAACAAGAATTTATAGATGTCACACCTATAATCCATAACATCATCAAAAGATGCAGAAATCTCTGCATGTAAGGGTCAAGGCTGAAAACCAAAGCTATATGACCTTTGACCCCTCAGACTGCAATGCATTAACACCAACATGACTGTATAAAGGACATTACTACATGGGCTCAGGGACACTTTGGACACATGGCTGCATCTACCAATGACAGTTCAGACTCCACCAGGCTCCGCCCACTTCTCTGAGCCCGAGCTCATCTGAGGCGGACTGACACAAAGTGGTCTGTCCAGTCCATCATGGACGTCCTGTCCTCCGGGACCAACCAAACTGTCACCAGCTCAAAATTCAAAGCCAGCATCTGTGATGGCATGGAGAGGTGCATCATGGGTCACTTCTTATCTACTGAGATGTACACCCAGGTTTTGGAGCAACATATGCTGCCATCCAGACGACGTCTTTTTAAGGGAAGTCACTGCGATTGTGACGTGTTCCAACAGCGTGTCTACGTAGTGACAGAGTACAAGTACCTGACTGACCTGCCTGCAGTCCACACCTGTCTGCCACTGAACACGTGTGGAACAGTATGGAGCATCAACCCCAGAGAGGTGCATCATGGGACTGTTGAGACACTGAAGTTGGGTGTCAACCAAGAATGGGAAAGAATTTCACTTTCCAAACTGTCCTAACGTTATTATAACCTGCTGCAGAATAAGTGCATATTTACAAAAAACAATAAAGTTTATCAGTTTGAATATTAAATATCTCGTCTCTGTTGGACAAAGGTCAAAGTCACGTTTGACACAACGCCCCAACTGGTACAGACGTGTGTGTATACATTCTGTCACAGTTTAACACAGTTGGAGTTATACAACTGTTTTAACATGTAAACAAGGGTGTGGGGGAACTGAGAACACACACACACACACACACACACATGAGAATCATTCATTACCAAACAGCAGAGTAAACAGGCTGCGATAAACAATAGACGTCCTTAGAAAGTTTCCAGTTTCCAGGACCGGCCCAGTACTAATGATATCACACACACACACACACACACACACACACACACACACACACACACACACACACACACTCACACTCACACACACACACACACACCAAACAGATTTCACTGTCTTTGTGCAAACTCCCGGAGAAATTAAAGCATCTTTCTGTAACCTGGTTGGCCAAAAGGTGTCCTTCACTGATGTGTCTGTCTGTCTGTCTGTCTGTCCATACCTCTGTCTGTCTGTGTGTCTGTCTGTCTGTGTGTCTGTCTGTCTGTCTCCACCGTTCATTGTCGGGGTCTAAAATAGCTGCAGACTGTCGGCAGACGCTGATAAGATCAGTCGGGGTGGTATGAAAACAAACTGGACCACAGCTTTAACACACAGAAGGAGACCACCTTTAACTCCGTCTGCTGTGAAACAACCTTCAGACTGAAGCTCAGAACGTAAACCTCAGTGAACTCATCTGTCCTCAGAGAGCATCTCTGACTGCACTTTATGTCAAAGTTACAAAAACAGTACAAGTACTCATACAGTTTATAAGTCAGGGCTGACCCCAGGACCATTTTAAAGCTTCAGCAGCAACACCAAACACTTGAAGCTTCCGCCGGGAGGCTGAACAGAAATGTTGATAATAACAGGCTCTGAATCTGAGACGACACCTGACACAGAGCTGTGAAACACAAAGTCTACTCTCACCGACAAAATGACCACATGGGCCGTCTGTGCAAACAGATAATTATGACCTGTTATTCTAAGGCACAGGTCCTTAATAGACTTAAAATGTCTTAAATTATCATTAAAAGGCCTCTTAAATTGTCTTAAATTCAGAGTCAGACCCAGACTCCTGACAGACCCAGTGACTCATCAATCATTGGACAGGCCCAAGAACTGCAATAATAAATAACTAGTGGCATTCAATTAAAAAAAAAGGCAGTGCGGCATGCCTTGCGTTTTGCAACCTACCTACTTACAACTCAATGACAGCTACTTGACAAAGATAGCTAACTAGCTCAACGACATGAACAAACCCAAGTATGACATGAATGTATTAAACTGTGTGGACCTTGAACTAATGATTAAGACCAGTTGGGAGCCACTGGTTTTCACTGTATAAAGACTTGGACCATTTCCTCCTCTCTGCCATGACTCCTTCTTGTTGCAAGTTTTCAGCAGCGCAGACATTTGAGGTTTTTGTTTTCCAATGTGTAATTTTCAGAAAGACACACCAACATTTAAAAAAGTTATTGTACGATTCTGATTCCAATTTACCATCGATTCTCAAGTGGAACCGGTTTTCGATTCCCAAACTGAAGTCGACTTATGTTTAGATGTGGGACACACACACACTGCTCTCCTGGGTGAAAGTCCGGTGTGTGACCCATCCATCACCCCTCCCTCCCACCCTACTCTGAATTTCTCCGTCTTTCTGCTACATAATGGCCGCAGACATTGGAGTTAGCTGAAAGCCTGGTGTGTCTCATTCATGCCTTGTGCCTTGGAGCCACTGACCAGGCTGCAGCGTTTGACGCCTCGGTAATGAGAGAAAAAATAACACTCAATGTGTCACCATCTGTGACTTTTCCTACCTGACAGCGGCTCTCTGGGTTTGACCTCCTCCACCACCTCCTCCTTCACCGGCTGCTCCTCAGGTCCCTGGGACGAGTGGTCGTTCATGGACTCCCTCTTCAGCTTCCCCAGACCAACCATCTTCATGAAGGACAGGCGCCGGCTGGTTGAGTCGCACTCACTCTCTGAACAGTTCAGCTCGCCGTTGGTGAGAGACTCCTTACGGGAGCCGACGGTGTCGCGGTACTTCCCCGCAAACCTGAGAGGGATGCGAAAGAAAAAACGTCAGTGAACAAACTCCTGTCGTAGCATTTTATCTCGACAAACTCCTCCCATCCATCTTAAACTTAAAAAACCAACATCAAGCTACTTCTTCCCAACAAACTCTTTGAATCCTTTTTAGTCTCAAAACTCTGACACAAATCCTGGCCTCAGCAACTTTCCCTCATTCTTTCCTACCTCAACAAACTGCCGTCATCCCTCCCCACCTTGAAAAATAACCCCAATCATCTCTCCTTACCTCAACAAACTCCTTATCAGTCTTGATCATAACAAACTCCGACTGTCCTGCTTTACCTTAACAGACTTCCTTCAGAGCTCCTCCTCCCTCTCTTCTTCTTCGTTGCAGGTGAAGGCGTTCCTTGCAGCGAACCCTGAGGCGACGGTGTTTCATTTCCTTTGCTCCTCCCTGACATTCTCAGGTTCTTCCCCAGCTTCCCCAGAGTCTTCAGCGGGGACTTGAATTTGAAGGATCCCTTCACCGAACCTCCGCCTCCAACTCCGCTTCCCTTTTTCCCCTCATTGGCTTCGTTCTCGTCCTCCTCGTCCTCGAACGGGTTACGATCCCTTGGCACGTCGCCGTCAAGCAGTGAGCTGCCGGGCGACCAGTGGTCGCTGTGGCCACCATTGCCATGGATGCCGTCGTCATTGTCAAAGGGGTTGTGATGGTGGGGTGTGATGTTGAGGCTCATCCTGCGCAGGATCCAAGCGTTGTCTAGAGTCGGACCGCCGCCTTTCAGGCGCACTGGGAGGTTTTTGAGGACGGGCATGATGGAGCTGGGGGAGGGGGGGCGGGGAGGGAGGAACCTGGAGAGAGAGAGAGAGAGATTAATCAATCAATCAATTAATCAATCAGTCAAAGAGCTGCAGGGGACTGCAGTCATTTTACTTGACACTTTGACGAGAATGTCGCGTCTGTTTCTACTAGACTTTGGTAACCTGATCCATCCACCTGACAGGTGTGGCAAATCGAGATGCTAAATAAACAGCATCATTGCAACACAGTTGCGTCCTGGGATGGTCCAACACATCCTCACTGTGACCTCGTCACATGTCCACGTTTGGTCATGGACTTTCCACGTCCACATATGACGTCCAAGGTACCCTGGGTGTGTTGGTTGTTGACGTTCTGGGACGCCGTGTCAACTTCAGCCTGTTACATGAATTGTCTGTTTTCAAAATACACTTCTGTTTTCACAGGAAATGTACAGTTTGCATACAGTCTCTTTCAAAATAAAAGCACTACGTCGGTACAACACAACAAATTGTCATTTTTTCTGTCAACAACACACACGTGGTTGGGTTTAGGAAAAAGAACAGGGTTTGGCTTTACAGTCTCACAGGAAGTGAACACCGGCCTCCTGGGTAAAAGTCGGTGGTTGTTGGACCCATCCGCCACCGCTCCCACCTGCCCTACATGGACTTCCACAACCTTAACTTTCGTGGGTGTCCCTGATGCTATTAAACAATAAGAGGAAAGGAATGTGTCATTGGCATGTTGACTGCAGGAATGTCCACCAGGACATTTAACGACCATGAGCTGTCTCCAGTGTTGTTTCTGTGAATTTGGCAGTACATCCAACTACTGTTGCAACAGTATGATGAACAGTATCATAAAAAATATCATAATTTTACAGTATTACACAATAATTATCATCAGTCACAGTGCCCCTTAAAGGAAAGAAAACAGTTTTTTTGGTTGAACAAATGGTTCACTATAAATGAAGCCATTTTTCTAGACAGAAGTGTGTGTAAAGCCTCTGACAGGCAGTTCGAGGAGGAAAGGAGATATGCATGTGCAGGGAAGGCTCTCTGTTTGGTTGCTTTAACTACATCGGCTCAGGACCTCAAAACTGCTTCTTCACCTTCAGAGTTTGCATTCTCTTATCAGGACTCAGTGAACCTCAGTGAAAACAACAGGTGCAGGTAAAAGCTCTGGAAAACAGTTGGTAAGCAGTCCTTGAGTAAAGATTAAATAAAAGTTTATAACTTAATTATTACTTAATTGATACATTAAAACTGCAGTTTAGAAATGGATTATTTCATTTTCATCTTTAGGGTGACAAAATGAATCAAATATATTGATAAACTAAACATTAATTAAATGTGTTCATTCTATTGTAAGTTTTTTTTTTAAAAGTAGATTTGTTCTTTTGTCATTTTCTGCCTGTTTGTTTGATGAATCAGACGAGAATCAAAATCAGAAATACTTTACTGTGTTTTGTTACAGTCGCTCTGATGTAAAGAAAAGAGAATTATAAAAAGGAACAATAGAGTAGAAATATAAGTATGTAAATATAAAGAAATAAAATAAAATAGAAATAAAAATGTGCATTATGTTTAACACTTGTACTTAAGATGTTAATAATAAAATATATATCTTCATCATCATCATCGTGCTTTCTGCTATTTCTTATTTTAATATTCGCTGTGTCGTTTTACAGTGAAGTGCTGTATGAATAAAATGATGAAGATTTATTACTGCTCACTGGTTCCTGAACACACCTGTTGTGTTCGGACGTTGGGGGGAAGTTACTGATAAGACTCCACCCTCACTCACAGTTACACTTTATGGCTTTATGTTAGATAATGCACTGTGATGACGCACGGTCGCCATGGCAACACATCCTCCTCCTGCTCCACCTCCAGGTGGAGGACACAGGACTCAGTCTCAGTTTGAGCTCCTCGCTCTAATTTCTGTTTTCTTACGACCGTGGATGTCTCCAAATGAGTTGTTACATATCGGCATATCAGAAATCAGCAAAAAATCCAGTATCACGCGTCCCTAATAAATAGACCACTGTGGTAAAACTGCTCATTCAGACATATCATTAATACTGATAGGCTAGGTGCTGATGCCTTCTCGAGGGAGACTCAAGACGAGCCACCAAGGTTCAGCTGAAGTCAAAGGAAAAGGTGGCAGGCTGTAGACGCACGACACGTTACAGTGACCAAATGTTTAAACTTGGAGAGCGAATAAAAAACATGTGTGACTCTGGAGCCGCAGGCTGTCCCCCGCTGAGTGAACCCATCATAAAGCACAGTGAGACTCCTCAGGTGTGTCAACGTGCATCACACCACCTTCGTGTGACCACACCCAAACTGACCCTTACAGATGTGAAACTGCGCTCACACACGGCGACCGTTTGTCCAGTAAATAAAGTTTAACCAGGAAACTGCTCTGCAATCCAACACCTGACCTCAAGCCATGGCAACAGGGAATACTGATTTCTGATTGGCTGCCGACTGTCAGTGTTCACCTCAACAACAGTACAGCTTTGTTAGCAGCTCACTCCCTCAAGGACACCTGCAAAACCTTCAACGACCCTGTGAAGCTTTTTAAGGACTTATTTAACCTCCTCAAGGACAGCAGTCAGATGTAATCCTGCTCTGTGATTGGCTGGCTGGCTCAGGGGTATGTTAAACTGCAGGTAGCCATAGCAACAGTGCAGACGCCTCAGTTAGCCGTTAACCGACCTGACGGTGATGTTAAACTGAGCACAGACACACTTAAACACACGCAGGAGGATTTGAACACAGCTGAGCTCTGCTCCTGTGGAGAGCGGACATCATGTAACACAGTCTGACATATGATGACATGCGACGACTCGTACAGCGTGCCGCAGACACAGCCGCTCCTCACTGAGCGGGTCAACAGGAAGCTGCAGACAGATCCCGCCCGCTCATGAAGCAGCTGATGTCACACAGCCCCACAGTCCCACAGCGATAATCCGTTAGGACATAAAATGATCAAACATTAACAGACGGCAGAGATCGGCTCGCTGTGATGATTCATGGAAAACTTCTTAATGATTAAAGAGAAATGTGCCGTCAGGATGGAAAATACACTCTTTGTCTCAGATGATTTGTGTCATCAGGACACTTTATAATATACTGATAAAGATTTAATACTCGTCACTGTGGACACCATCAGATTTAAAATGTTATTTTTAACTTCTTTAGAGACCTCTGACACAGATTACTAAAACTAAAAGTTATTAATAAGCAGAGGTGGAGGAAGCACTGAGAGACACACTGTAATACTCTGTCACAGTAAAAGTATGAAGGTATAATCTGCTGATCTCTGTCTGGGGGTCCAGTCGTGCATTCTGGGTATTTTTATGCACCAATTTGTGTTTTTTTATGTATCAAGGCCTCGCTACTCTCAACATGAATGTAAAGGGAAAAAGAGTCAATTATATTTAACAGCTGCATCAGTTTTATAAAAGCACCGGCGTCCCAGGTGAAAGTCCGTGGTTGTTTGACCAATGCACCGCCCCTACTCAGACTTCCACTGCTATAACTTTTGCTTTTGTCCCGCCGCGTTTCCCACGACGCTGCCGGGCATGGATAAACAATAACCGCAACCCGCCACGCATCATGCCGACATGAAAGGACGGAGTCGATGGTGTCTGATGCCGGAAGCCATGCAACGAATGAAGTGTCGTTTTCTGACAACTTCGTAATGAAACCAGGTTGGTTCTCAAATTTTTCATATGTTTTCCTACAGAAGCAGTGCGCCCAAATTTGTACAAGTCATATGTATTTTGAAAGGCTGCAATCACATGACCAGTGCGCCAACGGGAGTAAACAAGGAAGCAGTCCTGGCCACTTGTAAGGAGGCAGGTCGGGGTGGTGGATGTGTCACAAGAAACCAGACTTTGGCCCAGGACTCCCCTGGAGTCACACGTTTGGGTCTGTGTGAACTTTGAGTCATTTTAAGGAACGTCCTCACCGTGTGTCTTTTCCTAAACCTAACCTCAGCAACTTTTACTGCCTGAATCCAGCCTCTGTAACTTTACATTAATAACGTAACTGTATGTTTAGGACGTAACGTCGTTCACAGGGCACTGATGATATCATAGGCTATCATCAACGGTTCCATGTGAATATGTTTTGACATATTATCATTTTAGTTTCCATCAACTCGTCACCTCAAACCAAAAGACTCACAGGGTTCTTCATAGTTCAGGTTAAAGAGCTAATAGTGAAGTGTTGCCATGGTTACAGAAAACTGCGTGTGTGTGTGTGCGTGTGTGTGTGTGTGAGACTGGGAGCGGATGTTGTTCATGTAGTTGGTTTTGCAGTCTCACCAGCTCAGGACACACTGCCACAAATAGACACACACACACTCACATATGAACAGTGAGGAAGCCACACACACACACACACACACACTGAAGTGCGGGTGAAGTGGGAAGTGATTCAGCGCTGTTGGCTCCATAAATACCCAGCAGCCCCGGCAGCGGGCTCAGGAAACCCCACGTGGAGGCCGGCGGCGCTCACACACAACCTGTTTTCTTCAAGAGGGTCGCAGGGCATCGCGGAAGCTCCTGGACACAAACAATGGGAGCGGAAAGGACAGCGATAGTGTGACGGACAGAGGCAAGGACTCCTGGGTCCTCAGGGTGTGGTCCACTCACAACACCAGAACTGGGGGGGGCAACCAGGCACCAGTGCTTTATCTCTGAAGCACAGGTCAGACCTGAGGACCAGCTGAAAACTCCAGTCTGGACTTCAGACTGTGAGGACCGTCTTCAGGTGACGTGAGGTGGAGATACAGTGTGAGGTGGCATCTCCATGGTGTTTGAGCACACCTGCCACACGTCTACATCGAAAACAAAACCCATACAAAACACACGGCATGTGTACGGCCCCTTATGTGAGCAACCCACTGTAGAAGATTCAAAAAGTAAGTAGCAGTTAGTGGCTAGCTCAACGAAGAAGAACAGCAGCCATAAATGTCCACAAATAGTGAAAACAACGAGGT